TCCGTGACGGCAACGATCGTTTTCAGATGCGTTGTGCGTGATCACAAATATCGCACCAGAAAATCAAACTGATGTCAACAATATTCTAAACATATGTAAAATTGTATGTCAAATGACAAAAAACACGGACTAGGATACGCCCAATGAGCAAAGCCTCGAGGCGAATTTTAAGCAAGGTACCACACAGTCATCCCCACTAAGCGACGTACGAAGAACCCGGACCACGTCCACTAAAAGCTGAACCATCCGATAGCAACTATCCCACGGGAGCAGTCTCCGACTCGTGCTCCTACAGCGCGGCGTCGCCAGTCACTGGCCGCCTGCTCTGAGCCCGCGTGACGTGCTCACTAGGGTGTCATCACATGGGATGTTTTCTCAGATTTTTATTGAAATGTATTTTTTCCGTGGCGCAGCATGCTAGGAAGCTGATTGACACAACCCAAAGTGCATAATTATTGGTATTTGTTGAGCTGGAACGATTTTCTTCTCAGACCAGAAGTGCTTATTTCGCTCAAAGCGTTACCTATGCGAAGCGATTTCAGTTTACACCGCTATCTACCATCGAACCTTCCACTAGTCAGCCGAACGAATTGCACCATTCGGGGCTGTTATTGTATATTTTATCATGAACATGCAGTTTATTTTTGTTTCCACCGTATTATTAAAAAAATATTTTAATTTTTCATATTATAAAAATGCTGACAATTATTAATTCTATGGAACACATTAGTTAAAACATTTGTGATACCATTGCTGCCAAAGTCGTTTACATATAAAAAAAAATAGTCATCGTAACGACATGTGGGAGTGACCCGACTGTCCCACTCCACGACCACAATCTCGCTCGTCCCATCATCAACACCTGTCTTCTATTTGCCAACACCGAGCTTAGCTGACCCGGCGCCAGGTGCTACCTTACGTTGGACTTGAATGAATATATTTGTTTTTGCCCTCATATATCCGATCAAGAAGCGTTGAATACAGCTTTACCTCACACTTTTGTGCTTTTCTTCATCTAACTTCACTGTCTACCCTAACGTTTGGTCTAATGATCGTGCACAGCCCCTATCACTCACAAAACGATGTTAACTCGCTTTGGAAATGTTATGTGTAGCTGGGGCCACTATCTGCAGGTAGGGAAAATGGTTCTTTAGTAAATTGTCTTGCGCTCAACAATTATGGCTTTTATTCGAAAAGTTATTCAGATTTGATGTCCTTTATCAGAAGCGCCGCCGTTTTTTCTATTCCAACGCAATTTCGTGATTGACGATACACCCAGGTCCTTACGGGCGGCAGGATGGTCTTCCGCTCGCGTGGCGGCGGGGTGGGCTCGCGGGGGGGGGCACCGGCGTCGGCGGCCGGATGTAGTTCTTGTTCTCTGGCAGGTCGCCGTACTTGCCGCCGCCCACCAGGTGGATGAACGCCTTGCGCAGGTCCATCGTGTACAGCTTCCCCGGCTCCTCCAGGAACACTGTCGCAGGATAGGGCTGAGCATCGAAGACAGTGTGGTGATGGCCACGCGCAGCCGCGCCCGGCGCGCAACAAAAGCCGGGCCCCGCGGTGTCCGCCGTTATAACGCAACTGAGCGTATGCCTCCCAGATATGTCGCATCGCAGCCGGCAGCACGTTCAAATGCAGCCCTCAAATGCAGTGGAATGTCACCGTTCATGACTCGTTGAAGCCAATACACACAGCATCCCTGTATATATATATATATATATATTGTATATATATATATATATATATATATATATATATATATATATATATATATATATATATATATATATCTCTCTCTCTCTCTCTCTCTCTCTCTCTCCGTCTCTCTCTCTCTTCTCTCTCTCTCCCTCCTCTCCTCTCTCTCTCTTCTCTCTTCTCTCTCTCTCTCCTCTCTCCTCTCTCTCTCCTCTCTCTCTCTCTCTCTCTCTCTTCTCTCCTCTCTCTCTCTTCCTCTCTCTCTCTCTCTCTCTCCTCTCTCTCTCTCTCTCTCTCTCTCTCTCTCTCTCTTATCTCTCTCTCTCTCTCTCTCTCTCTCTCTCTCTCTCTCTCTCTCTCTCTCTCCTCTCTCTCTCTCTCTCTCTCTCTCTCTCTCTCTCTCTCTCTTCTCTCTCTCTCTCTCTCTCTCTCTCTCTCTCTCTCTCTCTCTCTCTCTCTCTCTCTCTCTCTCGCTCTCTCTCTCTCTCTCTCTCTCTCCTTCTCTCTTCTCTCTCTCTCTCTCTCTCTCTCTCTCTCTCTCTCTCTCTCTCTTCTCCTCTCTCTCTCTCTCTCTCTCTCTCTCTCTCTCTCTCTCTCTCTCTCTCTCTCTCTTCCTCTTCTCTCTCTCTCTCTCTCTCTCTCTCTCTCTCTCTCTATCTCTCTCTCTCCTCTCTCTCTCTCCTCTCTCTCTCTCTCTCTCTCTATCTCTCTCTCTCTCTCTCTCTTGCACATGACGTCAGCCCTGGCAATGTGAACTGGCGTTACCCGGTAAACTTCCCGCTGTACGCGCCTCCGCTCCCATAGCCTTTAACAATTGGCGCCGGATAGGACGGCATGGGCGGGCGTTGGTCGGACCTTTTTGGCACCGCTGTAGGAGGTCGCCCTCATCATCCCAGGGCCGGATGAGATTGCAGCACGCCCACAGCTATTGTGGTAGAGCAGCTCCCGGTTCCAGTCGCGCAGGAACAGCTGGTCCCACATGAGCTGCAGTCCGGTCACGCCTCAGTATGCCGACGAACACCCTGCAGGCCGCCGGGGCGCGGAACCGGTCACAGACGGATCCGCCCGGTCGCATCGGTACAGGACGGCACCGGAGGCACCGACTGGGGCTCTCGTCAGGTCAGCACGGGTTTGTCACGGTAAGGTGATCGACGGAGAGACTGTCAGGGTTGTGACCGCAGCCGTTACAGGTGTCGATGCAAAAGGAAGGTTGCGGAAGAGATCGGGATCACCAACAAAAATGATTGTTATAGTTGAACATAAGTTGCGGCATTGTCTTGTGAGACATATCCTGTTTTTCTTTTTGTCTGGCATTCACTCTTTATGCTGTAGTATTTCTGCAAAGTTGCGACTTTAAGACGGGGGCCGGGGGGAGAGGGGGGGGGGGGGCAAATTCCCCATATGTTAACTCCAGAATATATTGGTACTTTGCGTCATAAAGGTACAACGACCAAAAATTGCTCACGAAAGCGAGACTCCCGCTGTTGCACAAGCACTGGATGGAAAGCCACGTTTTGATTGACAATGTCGTCCCAGCCTTAGGAAAATAAATATGCATTTGTTGGTGGGACTGATTTTTCACGATTGATGACAAAATAGATATATCGCCAGATCATTACACCTGCACCATAGTTACGCCTGAATGAAGAATGACAGATTCATGCTTCAACCACCGAAGATCAACGCAACAATCCAGCGAGAAGGCCAAACGTCGGCGTCAAAATCAACAGGCTAAATTAACAAGGACAGTAATCCTCTTAGGTCTTGCCCTACAACAACAAAAAAACTGATTGGTCTGTACCGGCGGCTAGCACAAACAGTGTCTGGTACCAAAACCTTCAAATACTGGCAGCTGCAACTGGCAAATCATGACCGTTGGCATACCTGTGCCTACCGATTCAACCCGCTCCGATGACGGAAGCTTCTTACCTGGACCAGCCACTTGCGCAGGAAGATCTTGGGATCCGCAAATTGCTCCGCCTGCTTACTGCTCAGTTCTTTGCCTTTCTTCAACAGCTCCAGCATCTCGTTATACTGTTTCACTCCAGCCTTGTGATCCTTGTTCAACAGCTCCGGAATGAAGTCCTTCGTGGACAACGTTACAACGCGTGTCAAAATATTGTCAACGAACTGACAGGATCGGGTGTGCCAAAATATATCGTTTACGTTGAGTCCTCCATCAATGTCGAAGGTTGTGGCACGCCCTCCTAACTATTGCGGCATTTTTCAGTTTTTTTTCTCTCATGCATTTCATGCTTTGACCGCACTCAGCTGTGAGCACCAGCATTTCCATCGCATGATTGTGTATCAATCGCGAGTGCAAGTGCTGCGTTTGCACGAATAACATAATGCATTCGTGCTACGCAGTTGACGGTTTGCTTATTATAAACATGGACATGGGCAGTTGACAACAACATGTACATGGGCCGTTGTACATCATGTAACACGAATAATTTATGGTGTTCGTGCGATGGGACACGCAGTTGTCCATTTCGCCCACCGAACACGATTGGGCGTGTTGGATTTTGTGCACGCTATGCCTCACTAGGTTCTTTTACAGAATGAAAACCAGTACGGGACCCGGAGCCGCAGACGAAAGTTCAAAATTTCACGGCGGATCACAAATGACATTCACGGAATGACATAAGTCTATCTTTACATTTGATCGCGGGAACAGAGAACATCAAGAAACCTGTGTAAAAGCATTTACATCCAACTTTCCAGACGCGATTGAATGCCGATATCTGGAGACATTCGAGACGCGATGCAGGATTTCCACCCTACCTGAATGACGACCTTTGGCCGGTTTTTGCAGATCTCCTGCAGGTGTTTGTGATACTCCGGATCCTTCGCTTTCACATTGTCCATGACGCGGTCGGCGATTTTGAAAAGCTGCTCTGTCGGCGGCTTGCAGTGGCGCAGCAGCAGGTCCAGGTAAACAGCCAGCTTGATGACGTACTCCTCTGCAGTAGGCGAGTGATAGGTCCGCCGCTAGGTTAGCAGTGTAACAGCTCAACGTTGTGGGTTAAACAGTGTCCCACCTTTGGATGGTATTTTCAAAATATACCCTAGCGAAACCTCAGGAGCAGTTACGTCTAATATCAGCACTGGGTAGTGCCACTGCAGCAACGTCAAGACATGATAAGCACATCAATTTTAATCATTTTAGGGTCCAAATTACAGCGTCCACGCCTTGTAACAGCACTACGCTTGTTCCCTGCGGTGGTCGCGATCACCGTCGTATGACAACGCAGTGACACTCTACTGGTGCGAATATAAGAATGCTTGTGATTTGCCCAGCGGGCAACAAGAGCCTATTACCATGAAATGTATTGGTAAAAATTTGAACCAGTGCGTTACCATAGACCATGTGATGCTCCCATTCCCAAAGCCAAAGTGCGCCTCGTAGAGAAACACTGTGGTAAACGCCAATGGGGAGAAATCAAAATCACAGTATAAGGCTTCGTTAAATTCGCGGGAAAGTAACTTCCTGTTCCCATACCCTTTTGTCTTAACAGCGCGATTCAACATTTCGTAGTATTCAATACACAAGCATTTTGACAAATAAGTGTGTGGCAAACATTACAAAATACACACGTTGGAAAAGCAAGGCGAATGTAATGCATCACTTTAATCGCGGTGAGCGGGGAGTCGAAAGAGGTTTCTCCCGCAGGAATCGCTGCTTCAAACAAAAATTCTGAGTTATTCAAGGGAATTTTGAGAATACTTGTAATACTTCTCAAATCGCACGTGTCTTATACAACAATAAATGAAAAGGTACAAAAAGGTGGCGTATTCCCTGTCAGCAAAAAGTTACGGATGAAGAAACGGGCATTGGCCTTTCAACTGCTCGACTAGACGCCTTATGTAGCATTGTTTCTGGCCTGGATGCTGATTAAAGCCATAGGTATGATTTTTGTATACCTGAAACAAAAACATGTTCACTAGACACATAGCAAGCGCAGTGAATGAATATTTCGCTCAGATCAATTATAACCCTAGATATGAATACAGAACCATCTGTCTGATATTGACAAAAAGATAACGTACGGTATACTCGTCACAAGGCGGTTTCGCATCGACAAAATCCCGTTGAGTGTCGCTGACGTACCAGAGTCCGCCTCCGGCTCCATCGTCAGCTGCAGCGGACACAGCCAGTACGGCTGCGTGTGGGTGAAGTTCTTGTTGAAGGTGTTGAGGACGTTCAGAGCCTGAGCCGCCAGGATCAAGTGATCGTCGCAGTCGAGAGGCCGAAGCGGCAGCGAGCGGTCATAAGCCTGCGCGATGTGATGACGGTTGCATCGCGTGAGAAACGGCACGCATTTGAATCAGCGCCGAGCTGAGCAGGCCCTCAAGGCACGTCGTCACCCTCTTACCCTTACACTGACGGGGCGAGGGTAAGGGCAGCCACCGCGATACATCATGTCTATAGCTCTAGAACATCAAGTCTATAGCTCTAGAATAGCTCTAGAACAGCTCGAGCTATCTTCCTAATGCTTCTAGTAGATCATGCCACATGAATTTCGGATATGCCATGACATTTCTGGTTCATGTCAGGAGCGTCTCTTTATATGGTTTCACAGGGAGGGGCTGAGCACCCTCAATGCTGACTTGAGCCCCCCCCCCCCCCCCTCATTCGGGTTCATTTGAGCCCGAACGCATATGAGCAAAAAGGAAATAATGAATAGCATGATGGCCCACATAAAAGTAAGCTCATGTTTTGCTAACAGTGACAAGCGTATCAGTCGCACAATCGTGCTTGTGGCAGTCTTCGCCTGCCAATTAGACGGTAAAAAAACGATCAGCGGCAGTGAGGTCATCAGTGACTCCACGCCCGCCCAAACGTGACATCAAAGGGTCTCCACATGTCCTGGTGGTCCAGGATGCACGACAGCTGAACCTGCTAAAGGTAATTGAACGTCCGGCCAAGTGGCCACGGTGGTGCGGCCCGACTTAAACCCACGTGGCTACCAAGACCAAGCCACACAATTGTCGAGGCGTTCGTATCTGGCGTGTGTGAGCGCGATTTCCAGATCTAACGGCCACCAATCGGCCCTCAGTCAATGTGTGCACGGGGCGAGGACGTAATCAAACCATGACGCATTGAGGAATATACTAATTAAGCGTATTTGTGCTATCTAGTGCAGTCTTTTCAACTTCAAAGGTATACCAGAGCTTATTTCGCCACATCTGACGATTGCTTCAAGGTCTTCAAATGTGAAACATTCCCTTCAAGCCGATGTGAATTCCAACGAAATGATTCTCGAACTAATCCAGTGGAGCGCACACCGTGTGTTTTGCCATTTTGTTTTGAATGATAATTCAAATGCCGCTGCAGTCCAATTTTGTGCGAGAAATAAACTTGACGCTGTTGAGTAAAACGTGTGTTAAGTTGTATGTGAGCCACATTGTACAAACTGTAGTTTCACAAAGACACAGTGAACCGATAATTTCCAACATGGTCGGGAGACCTCACTCAGTGTTTCATTTATCCGTTCTCACTAAAAATAAAGGGACACTTTAGCATGTTTGTGTTCATGCAGCTAGGAATCATGAGATACACACACCGCTCTTCCCATTCGCGATAGACGAACTGCTTTCTTAGAAGCCCTGCGGAATAGCAATGCAGTGTGATTGGGACGGCCATGGACTTTTAAAGACTTACACTCCGAACCTTTTAACTGGATGCTCTTCTGGGATAAGCACTCACGCTAGTGCAACTGCACGCACGCACGCTAGTAGATACTGCTTGCCTGGTAAGCCCTAACCCGATCGTGATATTTCGGGTCAAAGTCAGAAGCGTACGGCGAAAGTATCACGTGCCGCAATACTCGGGACGGTCCACCCTGCCCTCTGATATTATTTGACCATCAGCGCGGCCACTGTCACCGGCCGCAGACTATTCCAGTCGGGCACAAATAGCGAACCCCTAGAGCGGCTCGAACCCACCCCGCCACAGGTCTGTGAATTGGTTTCCTCGATATAACCCATGTTTTTTTGAAAACGTCGTTTTACCACCACCTCCCGATATATTGAGAGCCGATTACTTTCACCATGAGAACTGCTAACTGATCACCGCAAAGGCCCAAGATTTAAGACCTTTGTTGTTGCATTAACTTCAAACACGCGTCAAAATGCTGCTCAGGCTATTCCGTCACCAATCCTTTCGTTCCGACATTCAGTCACCTAATCCGTTCGTTCAGTTATCGGCACGTCTGTTGAGAAGTTCGCACAAGCTCAGAAATACTTTTATATCAGGGCACGTCGTAACAGTGCACTCAAAACTTTTCCACACAATATCGTTCGTACGTGCCAGACCACGCCATTTTCATAAAATCGTTTTGTTCGCCTCGAGCCGCTTTCGACGAACGACGAACGGTACCTGTTTCCGTAGTCACAAAGGCTCGAATAAGCAAGCTTTCTTCTGCAGATTACACTCCACTACAAGCATTCTAAGCTCATACAAATGCAGCTTTAAACAGCCTTAAAATGGTAAGCCATTCCTCTGCAGCAAAACAGCTTTGGAATCGACAAAATATCCTTTTATCACACAGGGCACGCAAATGAAAGTGTAAATTTCCGAGGCCAACTCAGGTTTGGGACACGTTAGATGAGCCTTATCGGCTCAGTCGCCCCACCCTCAATCGATTTCGAAAAGTGACCCTCCTGCCCCAGATCATGCCATTTCAATGATCTAGGTAGGTATTGGCTTGGCCATGTCGAATCAAGCCGTTGAATGAGACATTCGCTAGTAATGTGTTTTTGCTCGTTAACTCTTCTGTGCAATGTGGTCTTCGAATTGCACTCTGCGTCAGCAAAGGTCATTGGCATCAGTTGACCTTTGCTTCTGGATTTCGTGAAACACCCACCAGCTGTGCGACGTAAAGGTTTAACTAAATCTTAGACAGGTGAAAATCCTTTTTTACCTGTGTAATCCTGCCTCATAATTTTGTGGTATGGGCCAACCAGCACGACTTGTCGGTGTGTATTCGGCATTACGCTTGGTGGTGTCGTTCCTTATTCGCATGTGGCCCTTATCACGAAAGATAATCGATCATAGGTCACTGAACTTCTGCCCGATAGCTAGTGCAAAATTTCCGGCTTGGTTGTAAATAATGTCAAGGTGGTACATGGCAAAACATCACTTTCATGTTGACCTCAGATCAAGAAAAGATCCAAGCTAATATGTTTAGAGCTACATGAAATACATAACGACGTTTCACTTGTCTGTATACCTCCATTTCGTCCCAAACTAACAGGAGGGGGCAGGGCAGGTACTCATTCCCCGCCAGTTCTAAGCTGGCGCAGAACCCCGTCAGTGCGAGGGTTAAGACCATTTCTCATTGCTTTGTGTTGCCCTGACAAGCCCCGCTAACTAACGCCTCGTTTCGCACCACCGGGTCTAATCTTACTTCGATAAGCACGTTATCGATGAGCTTCCACTGCGGGCTGCGGTTCGCCCTCTGTCCCTTCTGTTCCTTGGTCCTCTTGGTCAGGGTCTTCTTGAAGCCGTCCAGCAGCTTGGGCTCGGCGTCGGCCACGCTGACGTGCCGCTTGTTCTCCTCCTGGAGCAGGTGTGTCAGCCAGACGTGGCGACGTACGGGCCGCGACAGCAGCGGATACTGGCCCTGTAGCCTGCGGACAGCGAGAACCTGTCGCCACCGTGCGCTCAACGGTGACTCAAAGCTTCTGATTGGTCTGCTGTTGCGTCAGGGGACGGCATGAAAATGCGGACCAATTAAGGCTCATGAAGAGTATAGCATCCAGCAAGCCAGTCAAAGATATACAAATATGATTAGCACCATGGTCTTACCAGCGCCATTGTTGATGTCCAACGCGACTGCGTCTAGTGACGAGTATTTGATGGTGTGGTGATTGAGATGGTATGCTAACTCAACTGACCAGGCCCTCCTTCAGAGGCAACCAGCATGACTCATGGCCTGCTGATCCGTTCGTGTTCGGGCGATGTGTCATGCGACCGGGGCGTCGAACCAGCCTCGTCCTGACTTTACTGCGTGCTGACCCACTAAGGAAGTCACTTGCACGGCCCGAGGCGACACGCCTGTGACACCCGCAGCGGCCAACCTGACCTGACGAGCTGCTGACCTGCTGGGGAGGGCCACTGCCTGGCCGGGGTCACGAGCAAGGACCGTCAGCAGGGCGCGCCCGGCCACATCACTGGGTCGCAGCTTGGTGTGCTTCTTCTTCCGCTTGCCTAGCTCCTCATCCTCATCAGTGTCGGACGAATCGGCGTCATCCTCACGGTCGCGGAACTCGTCCTTCTCCTTGCGGATCTTGGCCGACTGCAGTTTCTGTGGAGTCGGAGCCGGTCAAAGGAGGTGCGACAAAGTCGAAGGATAACTGTGTGGCGTTGGATACGAGTTGCTGGCATGAACATGCACACCTTCCTTCATGTTTCGAAACCTGCTTTCCTTTCCTTTAGAAAGCAGTCTGCGCACTTTTACAAAGTACCGATCGGACAGTTACGGCGTATGCTGAAAAGACGGCACCCGTACCTCGTCATCCATGACGCGGCCGATCTCCGTCTGCAAGCCGGCGCTGAAGATGGCTTTGACCTCTCTGACGAAGCTGCCCAGCTCGTCTTCGGCCTTGTAGTCGCCCAGGTCATCCGGATATCCGCACTCCCGCATGGCGCCGTGCAGCTCCGTTGTCAGGTACTCACGCATGTCGCGCAAGTGCTTCTCCTTGCTTGCCGGCGGCATCTTGGGCGGCTCCTGGCAAGGTGATGGACAGTGTTGGGCACAGTACAGATCTTGAGAACCACGGCGCTGATTTGGGGCTGGTGGAGCCGAAAGCTGATCGAAAAAGGAGATTGCGCGTTCTGGATGGTGTTACACACCTGTAACGTATACCCAGCGGACCAGCTCAAGCAGTTTTTACATGGGACAGACCCATGAGCAATTCAAAACGCCTATCGTGGACTGCTCCTTGCTATCCTCCTGTTCGGCGGTACGTTGTTTGTTTATGTAATGTGTTGCAGCATAACACATTTTCGCTAAACAATTTCAGCGGTCATCGACACGAGTGGGTTGCAGCGTAAACTAAATGAAGCCACATTTAATAGATCTGATTAATGGTGAGTTTAATTGGTTGAATTGACTAGACATAATGTTTCAAAAATAGACACTTATATATACATGCATACATATATCATTCCAGTATATATTATTTCATTTTATCTTGTTCCAGCATATATATATATATATATATATATATATATATATATATGTTTGTGTGTGTGTGTGTATATGTATGTAATGGAACAAACTTCTTTATCATTTTTCGCTTTATTGTAAAAGGCGATAAACGGTACGCTAACATAAATATTACCAAAAATTGCTGCGTGTCATAAGACTTAAATTCGGGTACCCTTCCAAAGGAAGAAACAAAACAGAAGACAGCCACCGGGCATGACACTAATAAAGAGCCTCCTCCACAGCTCCAGGCGCTACCATCGCCACTGCCTCCGTCTCCTGCTGCAGTTCTAATGCTTTCATGATGTAATACTGGAAGCACGTCGCCAGCATCCGATCGTCCCCGGTGTTGATGCTTATTTCGTACATTGATGCGTGTATGGTATCGGTGCGAAAATTGATTGAAACTGGAACCTAATATTTGCGTTACACACTGAAGAAGACTGCGTCTGGGATGGCAAAAAAGTGGCAAAAGAGGACGACATTTGAAGGAAGGTATCACATTTTTAAATTAGCAGATTCCATTAATTATCAACTACAGCATTAGACCCGGATTCAACTAAAACTGTATTTTGGGGGAACTAGGGGACTGGGGCACTTTTCCTATCCCAGAGGACGACGGTCGGTGCACATCAAGGACCTTCAAGGGCACAATTTTCTATACCCAATCCATCCGCTACCCATGGGGCTGTGCGCATAACATCTTTCTACCCCTTCCTAATCGGTTTCACCGACACATTACCAGTTTAAAATTGTTATGTAGAGTTAACAAGCTTCATGTTACCAGGAGATGCTGGTTACGCGGTGCCGCAGAGCTAGATGTGTGCTCATCTCAAAGGGGCGAAAAGGGTTCAGAAAGGTTAAACAAATACAACATTTGAAAAATGAAACACGTGAATCCAGAAAAACCTCCCCCATCTGTGCAGACAGTGTCACTAAAACATCAAAGAAAGGTTTTTAAAAAGCATCCAAGCTCCCAACACCGTTCCACATATCCCAAAAACCATAAGGGGAACATTCCACTTGGTCCTATCGTATCCGCATGTGGTGACCCTTAAGGGGAACATTCCACTCCGTCCTATCGTATCCGCATGTGGTGACCCTTAAAGGGAGCATTCCACTTCGTCCTATCGTATCCGCATGTGGTGACCCTTAAGAGGAACATTCCACTTCGTCCTATCGTATCCGCATGCGGTGACCATTAAGGCAAACTGCCATAGTTCCCCAGCAGGATTTTAATTCAGACTTTGGCTCTGATTCCTGCTCACCTGCCTAACACAGAGTCGTGCTCGAAGGAAGAGAAGAATGCGATTCCGACCGAACCTCACACGGGTAGTATCGCTTTCGTCATGAATGTTGCAAATATGTACGGCAACACTCCCGTTCAAAAAGGATAGGCCCAGTACTGAGTTTAATCAAGGAAAACCAGGATTGGATATGTATTTTGGGATAAACACAGTGGTCTGCGCCAAACCACTAACGCACGTGTTAGCCACTTTCACGATGGATGAATGCAGCGAAAAGTTTGAAAGGTTTATCTTAAATGTTTCTGTTTGGTTTTAGTATATAATAGACACTCTGATCAGAAAAAGACTGTTTTCATGCAAGTTCATTAACATGCAACAGGCCAGCTAGATGTATCCAACCACGAATAGCTCGACACAAACACGTGATGGTACATCCAGCGTCCGGGACACAAAAAATATTAAGAAAACGTCCAAGGCATGCTTGAATTTGTGCAAGAGCAGTGTAAGAGGGTTTCCAAATTTGTGACTGAAGCTTTCCAGATTCCCACCTTTCCGCCGACAGTATTCATGGGTTTTATTTCCTTACTGCCATTTCAAAAATGCAAGGTAAAATGACTGATCTCAAGGCAAGTGTCGGCACCGAGAATGCAGTGGTGGACGAAACAAAGAACTGCGTACTTATTCTCAATTAGCGTCTTTCAAAGAGTTTTAAAATACGCTTATTGAATGTCATCTGCTAGCTCTAAACAATGACAGTCAATCGTGGGGATGGATTGCAGCTTTGAAGCGAATGGCCGAGTGTATCAAGCAGAGTGGAAGAGATACCCGAGGCAGAATGTGTGCCAAAAAGCTTATGTTTAAATCACCTGAACGCTCTTGCGGAAGCTTACTTTAACACAAAAAGCAGTGCTTAAAACTGGCAAAGAATAGAACACGACTTAGCGGGTTAATGGAAAAATGAAATCTGTTCCTGATGTTCAAGTGCAGGTGGGGCAGCAAAAGAAGCGGAGTAGTTGGTTTTCCCCAACGACGTACATAAACCAACATCAGCTTAACGTTTTCCAGGATCCGTGGAAATCGGAACTCGGAAGGATTGTGGGCTGGCAACAGAGGCGAAGGTCTCGCCGCCTTCTCGGAGAAAACATGACCCCTGTAATGGCTCTGAAGCCATATCACAAGCGCCCGACACATATAGCGCCCGACATAGATAGCGTATTAGCCTATAAAGGGCAAGGTGCATAGAGTCCCCGCAACGATTGTGCTGGTTTTGTTATCGCCAAACTGTTGAAATGTTCGCCAGTAATTAGTTAATCAAATAGGTACAAATTATTACATAGTTGTGACAGCGAACTGTGTAAATCAGAGGGCTATTGAGCCAGTACCATGTACAGGGATACGGATGAAGCTCTGAATCTGTGCTGTGAATGTTCAGGCCGGTTTGGCTGGACCTGCCTCACCGGTTGTGACAATGGTATTGTGGGAATAAGATCTCTGTTGCCATTTGTGTAACCGCTGGTGGGATAGGGTTCGCACGGTTCTGCTCCAACTTTCACTGCCATGTTGTCCACTGAAATTGTATCCGTAGAATACATGTGTATCATGTTCGCCCTTTCAACATGTGATTGGCGAGCAAACTTGTCCCCTACATAGCTCAGTTTGCCGTCCAACCTTTGTTTATCTCCCTCGCAATTTCATAACCGCCCTCCAATTTCAGAGACACTGCTGTACCCAAGCTTGCTGATGATGCAGATTATTGAAATATTATTTATTATTTCAAATGCTGGATTATTAACTTGGAATGCCTTATTCTTGGTGCGCACCTGTCTGGACTGAAATCCGGCTCCACTCCAATACCAATGGAGACCACCATAAAAGGGGCAGCATACCAAGTGCTGTTAATTGTATCATGCAAGCTTAATATAAACATTATCATGGCTATCATGCAGTCACGGTCGACATCACATCAGTAAGCACTTAGCGTGTTATGGAAGCATGAAAATGTTACTTTGTGTACTTATTTTTCCCAATATCCACATCATTCTGCCACATGCTTTGGATTAGGGGGCATAGTTTCAAATAATGAGGCTCGAAGACACTAATAAGGCTTGAAGGCATAACTTGCCAGTGTTTGATCATGGTGCCCACTTATTATGACAAGTGGCAAAGGTTGCGTCCGTAGTGAGTTATTGCTATCTTTAATCATTTATGCCCAGGTAATTTTAAGTGGTAATCCATATAACCATGCTCACATTTTGCATTCATTATAAAGAGTGCAGTGTATACCCATTGATGCTTTCAAGGCACCAACTTGGGTAACATTACAAAAAAGAACACTCAAGATTGCACAAGATCAAAATCACAAGATCCAAAGCACAAGACCCAAATCGCAAGACCCAAATCACATGATCAAGATCACAAGATCAAGATCACAAGATCAAGATCACAAGATAGAGATCACAAGATCAAGATCACAAGATCAAGATCACAAGATCACAAGATAAAGACTACAAGATCAAGATCACAAGGTTGACGATTACAGAAGGTTTGTGCATGCAATCTGCGTGCTAAGGCCTTCGACGCCAGGTCGGACCGCTCCTCACGAAAATCCGTTGTGCACCCCTGGTCACGGCCTGGAAATGTGGCAATCCATCTATTTCGTGAGCGTGTTGAAAATGAGCATGAATGTTTAAAAGGACAAGCAGGGGCGTGGATTAGTTCGTGCTCTCGTCGGCGTTCAAGGGTCAGCGAGCGGCTGGTTGCGGGAGCATGAGCACCAGATGCACCGTCGCTGGTCTGGCACTGGTAAAACCAGTTCAACGCTAGCCATTGGAAGCCGTTCACCAACGTGCAGTACCAGCGCACGGTGGGCCCCCCGTGCTCGCGCAGCTGGTGCGCCCCACTGACGCCGGCTGGCCGCCGCCGCAGCTGTCTGGCCGACCGGCTGCTGCCCGTCGCCTCGGTAGCGGCGTAGCGGCTTTAGACTGCTGTTGCCGCTGCTGCCTTGGACTTGGTGTGCGGCGGCCGAAGCACGGGCGAGGTGTGCCAGTGCCTGCTGCGCCACCACCTCGATACGCTGCAGGTACAGCATGACTCGGAGCGCGCCGGCGTCTGCGGCGCCCGGCCGGCGAGCCGTCGCGGCCCGGTGTCCTCCATCCGTTCGTCGTGTGACGCACGTCCATGCCGCGGCTCAGCGTCACAACCGGCCTGGTGAAAGTGCTCGTCCAGAACCGCACCGTGATGTGTGACGAGGACGGCCCGGCGACTGAGCGCGCC